GCGTGTCGATCGTAGCATGGTACGCTTGTAAGAACCCTACCCATTCTCGTTCAATGATTCTTCGTAAATGTTAGCTTGTTGTATATTAAACAACCGATTTCGAAACGATCAACACGATTTCAAGATATCAAATTATTATGAAATAACGTTTATATAATATCAACTGAACAGCTTAAAATTTTATGGAAATAACTATATAAACAATTCATTAATATTCTTAATACAAAATGACAATTATAATAAACAACGATCAACTTTGAATCATCAAAAGTTTGACACATTATTTAATGCTATAAAAATTCTGTAAAATAATTGATTTTGTATTAATTTAATTTTATCGTCCTACCCTACGATATATCTAATTGTTGCTCTTTGAGACACATTAATGATGAAATAATTTTCTTAAAGAATATTAGACGTAAGAATAGACTAGACAAACAAAAAACATTTTTCATTATCGTACCACGATGCGTATCATTCAGGATCGGCCTATTTATAGTGACCCGTGATGATTAACGATCAAGCGGCGACCCACGTAACGTTATTTTGATTGTGTCATTAGTCAATGAACGAGACGCGACGTTCAATCCCTGTTACGTCGTATGATATCGTGTACACCCGCGATCAAATCAGGCTTCTATCGGGAAAATAGCGATTTTCAAACAGAAATTTTCAACATCTTAATTTCCATGATTTCATTAAAAGTAACCATCGAACGATGATTACTTTTATTTCATCAAGTATTATAGATAAACTCGTTGTATTTTCAATTTAATTATTTTTACAAGCATTTATGCAATGTTAAAAATAAATCCTAATTGTATTAATCGTTATTGCGCAAGTTTGAAATTTCATTAAGAAATCACCAGAGATAAATTAATAATTGGCGGACATAAGTAGTAAAACATAATAAATGATAATTTACAAGCATAGAGATATGGAATATTTGTAATGTGTATTTACGACTGTAGCTGACCCTACTACGTAATCTTCCACTATTACAAAGGGGCGTCCGTGCAGACTATCGTTAGCGGGCGTGTTAATGATAAAATAATGATGATACACTCATTCCAGTCTCGGGACAATATAATTGACTGTGAAGACTGAAATTATTCATCGAATGCAAAATATTTATAAACGATAAAAAAGTGTTTATATGAATGGTATTACAAGGGCGGTACTATCTTCATTAATTAATGACAATTTGATCAGACTATGAAAATTTGAATTTTTCTTTTGTCACTAATTTATGAAATTTCTGCGATATTTTTATGTATTTATATCCTTTAATATGTGGTTAATAATAAATAATTATAAGAATAACTAGATGGGAAAGAGGGTGGGCCTACCCCTTCTAAAAATCTGGACTGCCCCCTCCCAAATGTGGACCTTCGCAATTCTAAAATTTTAAGATTAGAATTCTGGTTCAGAATTTTCAAATTACAAATCATCAAAGTTTCAAAATATCAGAACTCAACAATTTGAAAATTAAAAAATTCCAAAGTTCTAAAATTGATAAAAGTATCAGAATTCTAGAGTTTGAAAATTTCACAATTCCAAAATACGGAATTACCATAATTCCAGAGTTCGAAAATTCTAAAAATTTTCAGATTTTCCGAATTCCAAAATTCCAGATTTCTAAAATGAATACACATCGAACATGATAGAATATCGAATTACTCATCTTTAAAAGATTGAATCATATCTACAAGCATGCGTATTTAACGTGACCCCAGTGATTCAGACAAGACACCGTATGTATCGCATACGATGCAAATCAGAAGTGATTGTACGCTCCGAATCCAGTTTGGTCCCTTTTGTTTCGTAAGGACCTAGTTAACTATAGATAAGAATCCTTTCTAGGCTTATCGAGTCTGGTCACGGTCGTGAAAAAATTCCGGAACGGTTTATCTCGTTATGAACCGCTATGCAGAATATTTATTCACGTGGCATCTGTTTCGACGCGTCGTCTATACATATACCGTTGTATGTACATTTGCTTCGTTATCTAACCGGTTCGATGCAATTTGTATTAACTAATGTGATAAGCATGACAAGGACGTACGAATGACCATTTAAAACATTTATCATAATGCATGCAGTATAGAATGATTTTAAACAAGATTTGTAGAACAGATATAATTCATTTACTTCTTTGATAGAATTTAAATTATTGCACTTTATACTAATAAAAAAAGAAAGAAGAAAATTGCTATTATTTTAAATAATAGCTATCTTTTATTTTCATTCCATAGTGTGAAAAATTAAAAATTAAGCAATTTTAAGTTTCATGAAAAAAGCTAGTTCTTATCCGCCATAAATCAATGGCTGATCGTCATTCGATCCGGGAGAAGTTAATCGTATATCTGTAACGGTAGCATTAACCTAACAGTACGACGTGCGAAGAAATTACAAAGTTAAAACATTCGACTCTCTCTTCTTGAATGTGGTGGTAGCTACGCGACAATAAGGAGAAAGAAATGAGAAAGACTTAAAGAGAGAAACATACCTGGCTGAGAACGGAGCTACTCAGCTGGGACTTGACAAGAAGGGATTTAAACACCTCTCGTTCCACATTTCCACTCGTGGGAGAGCAGATCTTCTCGTAGACTTCTCTGTAGAACGCTGGTATGCAGCCTGGTTGGGCACGGCGACGAAAAGCAAAATAAAAGTAAATCACTTCACGGAAAATTACCAAGTGTCACTTTTCACAAAAAAAGAAAAGGGAAAGAAAAATAATATTATAACGCGAAGGTCAATAATTGTTGGGAAAACCATCGGGCATTTACGTAAACGAGGAAACCGTTATTGCTCAAACTTGTTAACCTCAAATAGCATACGTAATGATATTAAATATTATATTTTTTTATTTGTACATCGATCTTTGTATTAACGATTATCTGATAAATTTTCAATATGTGCTTGGACTTAACTTAAAAAAGTATAATTTCTTAAAAGATGTTTACAAAATAATTTTGAATATATAAAAGATTTTAAGAAAGAAAAATATATCAGAAGATCGTAATATTATAGCGACATTGTTAAAAGGGTGGAAAGGTTGCTTTTAAAAACCGGACGACCTCGGGAAGACCTTGTCAAAGGTGTGTATGGTACACGGGTTCATCATTTACCGAACGACAGATCGGTCGACGCCATATTGGATCACTTGTAGATCATCCAGGATTCTGCGAGATCGTAATACCACGGCTTTTCGAAATTACAGTTACGTATACGATGATCTTTCGAGTAATGATTTATGTGCACACGCGTTGTCTGTTTTGAAAAGACCACGATATCAGCTGTCGGCAAAGTACGAACGATAATACAAAACCACCAACAACATACGCCATTGCCGTGTGGCGCACAACTGACGACTGACGCGATTTCTCCGGCCGGCTGACTCCGACTTCTCCCGCCGCGCATGCGCCTTCTTAAATACTCGACTCGAAGGCGTCGATTTAACGAATCGATTTAAACGCGACAAATTCAAATCTCTAGCGTTTTGTATTACATGTATATGCAGCGTATTCGGTAAACACAATAAAAAAATATAAATTACTTAGATACAAAAGAGTGGTAAATACAAAAATTATTAATTATCATCCAATTGTCCTAATGGAAATGGTTTCGGTAATGGTTTATCAAGTTCCCTTATCTCCTTCCTGATTTCCTTGGATTTTTCCTTGTCCACTGATTCGATTAAACGCAATTTTTGTGCTATTTCTTGTTGTATCATAGGACGATATTTTTTTCCCATTCCAAGGCTCTCCATGTCGCTTAAAAATTCCATTCTCTCCTGAATCCCTCGTACCACTACAAAATAAAAAATAAAATATTAGTGTAATAATGTTAGATATTAATTTATTTCTGTTACTTACACTCATCGATAGGATTTACATCGTCTGACGAACGTCGCTCTCGTCTCGCTTTGTGAAGAACTTTTGGTCCATGAGGAGTTTCTGGCATATCTTTTCCGTATGCCATGATACATGCCAGATGACGCTTTTGCTTTTCTTTACTTCCTAAATTTTATCAATAATAAAAATATATTTTACAGCGTTATAATTATACAAATTTTGAAGTATCTTACGAAGAGGGGATGTCCTTCTATATTGTTCTCTCTCGTATGCGCCACTTTGAATGATGACATCCTGAGTTCGTTTCTTCCAAATAGAAGGCATCGTGACCTGTAAAAATAATAAAACGGTTAGTGCGTGTAATATTTATAAATAAACCTATCAAATTTACCCGATACTCCGTGTTACGTTTATTCGCATTCTGTTTTGATTTATCCGTGGGGAGCGGTAAGGAATCACCCCTGTCGAGTGCTTCTTGAATTGATTTTCTCTTCATCATGCTCACTTTAGACTCCTCCATTAAAACTATAATAAAACAAAACTAACCCTTAATTCTTACCATTTTTCACTTTAGTTTTTTATGATAAATTTGCTTACGTTTAATCAGATTTTTCGTCTCTTCACTGTACTTTGCTCTTGGTGGATGATGGAACGCGCCCACCCCCTTTTCAACCCTCTGATATTTCCGGTCCATGTTAGCCTCCTTCAAACTATCGACGCGTCAACTAGAAGCGTACTGTTTCGTGACACCTCGAAAAGACAATCGCTAAAGTTACCCCCATTCAATATGAACCACCCCAGCGTCGCGTTTCTATGACTACTTTAAAGATGATTCAGCCATCGAACTAACTTTCAAACTGCAATTCAAACTTTCCTGATATTGTCGATACGTAACCCAAGTGATATATGATTTCTGTAGTTAAAAAATTAAAATCTTGGGAATTTTAAATATTGTTTCCCTGGAAGTTATTCAAATTAAATAAACATTAATTTTATAAATTTTATTAAAATAAAAATTTTCGATATTTGAACAATTTTTAAGTGCATATTATTTTAAAAAAATATTCCCAATTCCAAAATTCCTAAAACTCCCAAATTCTAAAAATTTCGATCGCGATAAAATGTCAAAATAATATTCTGTTTAAAACGGATTTACAAGAACAGAAATTAATAATTTTGCGGCAGTATCAATCAATGATCAAGTTGGAATGGATGCACCTTGAAGGATGCGGCAGTGGCTCGACTTGTGCGCATGTCGTGCAATCTACCACCAGGGGTTACGCTCCTACCTCCTGGACGAAATAAACTTGCGTTTTACGCGTCGAAAGTACACTGGTCCACGAAGAAAAAACACAGAAAAAAAATCCGAATTTCGTGTTACTGTGTAATTTCGAGCATACTTAACCAAGAGGGATAATATTTCTTCTTCAAGATCCTTCGACTTCGTATGATACCATTTCTCTCGACAATCAAATCTTTCGCTTTCAGCCAAGCGAGAAACAGTGAAAGTTATTGATTCTCATTGTGAGCTACGTTTTAGTAATATTCTGTGCTCCTTTTTCTGCCAGGTGAGTGACAATATGCATAGTTTCCTTTCCCTTTGAGGGAAAGGGTGACCACTTAATTACATCCTCAATGTAGCGGGGAGGCCTCCCTTTTTTTTCGTGTTGTTGTTATCGTTATTGTAAGCAAAACGATCGCAGCGACTCCAATCTAATGATGACTTTTTTTCATTATTTTTGATAATTAATAAGATTTGAAATTGAAGAAATTAAAATCAAACATTTGGATACAAATAATAAATCTTATTAAACAAATTATTATAAATATTCTCCTGAAATTGTTTCCTTTTAGTTTCAGGAAGAATATTTCCAAGTTTTATTATAAATTAAACAAAATGAAAGTGGGACTGTTAAAAAACTTTTTACACTATTTCAACTTGAAACAAGGCACAGTGTTAATAGCTGTGTTTCAATTGGTAAATACAATAATTATTCACTGTTATAATTCAACAATGATTGCTATCACTATAAATTTCTTTCTTCGATACAGTTTACATCAGGCTTCAGTATGATATTTTTCGTGCTCGCACTGGCACATGCAATGGGAATTCAAGAAATGGTGGTAAGAGATACAGAAGATGCTCTGGAGAGAGAAGCTTTAGAAGACATATCCTCTAACCACCTTAATACTAGGAAAATGGATATGGCTCATCACAATGCAACTGGTGCTTGTAAAATTATAGCCACTCAGCCAATCCTGCGAATAGCAGATTCTGTCGAATTCCTGTTAGAAGGTTTTATAAACAGAATCGCAACAGATTTGATGCAGGATGCGTTAAATTCAGCTATTGTAGCAGATTCGCGGCAGAAATATAACAAAACCTGTTAAAGCAGATTGGCGGCAGAAACCGAGCAGATCCTGCAACTTCAGCCATTTAAATTTTAAACGGAACAGTGACTATATAAATGGTATTTAAAATCTTTTTCCGAAGTATGAGCGTTTGATTCTATCAAGCCAAATACAGAAAAAGATGGCTACGGATTTGTAGACAGATTCTGTCAGATCTGCTGCCAATCTGCGCGCAAATTGTTTACTGGGTACATACTCCAAACAGCTTTATGTTTTATTATTTTACAAAAAGCCATAAGAATTATTTCCTAACAAGTCTTTCCTCTCATACATTTATCTCGATACCGTTCTATTTAATTTCATTCATTTTCGACAAATTTTGAGCGGATTCTTCATCGTTCCAGAAACGGTTTACTCGATGTATTGCGGACTTGTCATCACGGTGATACATTTTATATCCACTATATTGCTTCTGTACGGTGCGCTAACGGTAATAACATTTTACACAGTCGCATGTCAGAGTAATTTTTTGATTAAGAAAAAGTCATTTCTTCTGATAGAATAATCGTCACTTCATGGCGCCTTGGATGATGGTCATGATGACTATAATATCAGCGTTGACAATTTCCTTGTTCCTGGTTGAACAAGACTGCCCCTTTATCGCTACCCTTGGTGGTAAAGCAGATATTTGTGAACGTACGTAGATATTTTTTAAATAATTCTTTTATATCACGTATGCTTGATAAACTTCATTATTTCAGGTATGATCGTTCTGTTTCTCGTAATTACCAGCTCATACGTGTGGTTTGTCGTGTACAGCACTTACAAGAGTCTCGAGACGAAGAAAGGATTAACTCACATTCTTCACGGCGTAAAGAAAAAGCCTGTAGTTCCGGTCGTACAAAAACCGAAAGCCGTACCGGTACAAGCAAACAAACCGTACGAGGTTTAAAGATATTACAAAAATTTATTGAAGTAGCTACAGAAAATCGATTTTATTCGTTACAATAAATGTGAAATCGCATTTGATTACAATACTCTCGGTACTGAGAGATAACTTTCAAATGACAGTGTTTTTTAAACAAATTTCGAAATTTCAAATGGAAGAGACGTACGATTTAATGGTCATACGAATGGTTACGAAAATTATACGAATTCGAACACATCGTCTTTGTCCAGAAAAGAAAAATTAACAATTTAACGACAAAGAAAATGTGGGATATTTATGTTGGAAAAACACTGTACATTATCGTATACATGACATGACGAAGACGTTTATTTCACGAAGCTCAAAAGTGATCTGCAGTACAAAAGGCTTGCTTCATATTATTACATGTATTATATCTTGCTCATGCGTTACAATTGATATTTGAACAACTCGCGTTGTTTCGTAATTTGAAATTAGATTCAAAATACATTTTGAACAACGCGGAGAAGTTTAAACATTGTTCTGAAATTTTCTAATAATAAAATTGCATATCGAAAAAGCGGCGACGCATATATCGTAATATATTTTTTATTTTAATTATTGCCATCATATACATAATTTTTTTAAATTGATAACGACGTTTCATTCAAGGTTTAAGTTTACACCTGATGATATTCTCTACTTATGTAAGACTGATTTTAATTGCTAGAGTTGCGTAAGATTATGATTCGAAATAACAAAGAAGAAGACAAAATACATCGCTTGTATCTGATCATCGATATTTTATTATAAACAACATACAGAGTTTCGTCTCATATTCAGTTTTATTTTAAAACTCGATGTCAAGTTCTTAATGATACTACAATAACGTTGATATTTTCTGGTAATATTTCAATATTAACAAGTGAATGTAGTTATTTCTTGTGTATATGTATATTAAATGTATGGAGATCATAAAAATAAAGATTACAAAACTCTATTACGTTATATACGTCCCATTATTTATTTGGCTAATCATTAAAAACCGATTCGATGATTAGTCAAACGTTAGAGTTGTTCATGATAGGTGGATATGAAGCGGGTTCAGGCATAATATACGATCCATGACGTTAAACGGAAGATTAATAATTTTATAAAATAAATATAAAAAAAACACATGATTGAATTATTAACAAAATATATCCTACAAAACATGATTTGATTACCTTTGCGATGATATTTTTCATATCATAATTTTGCGTCAGCGTTAACAATAAATTGTTTTAATTGTGTAAGAAAACTACTTTTTACAATGACGCGTTCAATGAAATTTCAAATATTCTTTTTCATTTTCTTTTTAACATTCAGGAACCTGTAGTTCCATAAGTAGAATAGGCCCACATAACAAGTTAATAACAACATGTTATAGTATTCCTTAAAGTTCATTTTCAATTTGTTATCAATAATTCACGCACCGTGCACGTAACACCAACAAATAATAGTACTTTCCGTTTGGTCCTGTACCACATAGTACGACTTTAAATAACAAACAGTATTCCATGCAAACTATACCTTGTAAATTTCACGAACACTGAAAACGTATTAAAATATACTCTCTTCCTTCGATTATCGCTATATAATACAGAAAATTAAATAACGTACAAATTTTTCAAATTTCCTATACTCTGGAGTTTACCTCCTCTTCATTCTCCAATCACATTTTGTCGTCAGTTAATTCAAGGAACTGTGCATAGAAATCTCTCGTGCATTCACCTTTATTGTTGAATACGAATTTATAATAACTACCATCTGCACATATTACTGTAAAATAATGAAAAATTATCATAAAAAAAAAAGTTGAAGAATTAAAATACCACCGCAATATGTTACTGACCTATAATACTATTGTTATCAGTTCCAAATGCACACATACATTGGGGACCACCTGGAACTTGAAATTTACAAAAGCTCCAGCTTGAACTAAAGTATTTTGGCAGGAAAGTGGCAGATGCTAAACTAGATTGACGATTTAATTTTTGATCTTCTACAGCAAAAACGTGTACAGTACCATGATCACTTGCTACACATAACCAAGTTGAATCATGATTAAAATTGATGCTGTAATGACATAAATTAATAAAATCACTAATGATGATATGAAAACGAATTTTAACAGTGCTTTATTATTATTTACCAATAAATATTTGCATGATTAGCTCCTCTTCTCAATTCATTAATCATATTTCCACTCTGCGTTTCAAATACTCTTATCAAAGTACCTTTCTCTGAAGCAGTAGCCAATCTAGTACCTTGTAAGTTTAAAGCTATACACGATAATGGTGTTTCATGAGCTTCTATATTTAATGGTTGCTTTTCTGTATTAGCCAAATCTATCACTGTGAAAGGAAGAAAATAAAAATTGGTTTGTGAGAAAAAAGAATTGAAGAAGTTGAGAAATCTATTATACAAAACTTTACCTTGTACATGACCATTTTTTCTACCAGGAAAAGCAAGCAGGGAATTACTACTATTTGGACATAATACACACAGACCCCTAGGATTTGGGTTGGTCTCAAAAACATGAAGCTGTTGAGGATTTTGTGTGAATGTATAAACTTTTATAACACCTTCTAAAATTACTACTATCCTATCTCTTCTCAGTTTGACACCCTTCACTGGAGCATTAAACTCTAAAGTAATTGCTGGAGATTTTTTCAGGTCATCCCATATCATAACTGCAAGTATTATGTAAGATAAGTAATTTATTCTTTTATCTTTCATTCCTGAAAACATCAAATGTTTTACCTTTATTTGTTGGGTACATGGGTTTTGCACCACTGCCAACTAGGGCTAAATAGTTACACCTAAACAGCATTTCCACATAACCAAGACCTCCATCACTAAAAAGACGTGCCTTTTCCTTTAAGGGATCACAGTTATATACTCTGAAGCCATTTTCCATACCGCAAGCAAAACATCCTATAAGTGAAAAGATTACATGCATAATAATGATATTAATATCTGTTTCAGTAGTATATATATATTTATCTTTTTTCTTTGAAAATGCAATATGGCATTTGATACATACATTGAAGCAAACACATAGGGACTTGAGATAAAACCATTACATTTGAATGATTATCAAGGAGCTCTTTATGAAATAATGTCATATCACATGATATACACAAAAGAATGTAAAAAGAAGATGTGATACAAGAAATAAATTTTCTAATAACTTAAATAAAACCTATAATATTATAAATAAATCTTTCATTTAATATTACAATTATACAGATTATTAATTTAAAAATAATGTACTTCTATGTAAATTTATTTATAAGAAAAATGTAAATAATTAAGACAGTAATTTACATAAAATCTTTATAAAGAAGATAGCTTAAATCTAATCGATAAGTCAAATTTAATACAAATTTATTATCCGAATTTGACATAAATTTTACACGAATTAGGTTAGAAAAGAGAAAATGGCATTATATTTATGTATTTTTAATTATTTTTAACATATAATATCATCTGAAAATGTTCTGTTTAACATCAGAGCGATATTGATTACATAAAAAATAAAGTTTTGATAAGTTTGCAGGGCAGACGTTAATACAGAGGTTAGGTATAAAAAAATAAATTTGACAGTATATGACCGGACTGTCAAATGTAGTACACTCGGTCACATACCCTGGTCCTGATTGAAACCAGCATAGAGCAAGCCATTGCCGTGAGGATTTCCTGTCGTTAAGTTCATTGCAAATCACTTATTTAATTGCAACATTAGCTCGAATGATCGGTTTACTCGTGGAATTCTATCACATCTTCGCCGGCAAGCAACATCAAATACTTTTCGTAACTACGAAGTTCCGTCACCATCATAGGGTTTCTACGCATGCGTATTCTTCCGTTTTAATCAGCTGATACTATAGAATCGGAGCACAACTTTTATTTATGTAGTTATAAAAACTTGTGTTTAGTGTTATGAATTTAATTACAGGAAAATGTGTACATGGAAATTCTCCTTGTACGATTGAATAGTAATCAATATGAGAGTACAAGTAAATAATTAAAACATTTAATTAATTTGTGTACATACTTTTTAATACAAGTTATATTATTTGAGGTTATATTGATAATCAAAGATGAAAAGTTTATATAGCAATTTTTTAATAGCAAAAGATATTCATACATCTGCTAAATTATTTAAAGAAACAGCGAAAAATTTAAAAGGAAAGAAACATAGTTCACAGTTATGGCTTACGAGGCAGTTAAAAGATCCTTATGTAGAAAAGTCAAAAAAAGAAAGCTATAGATGCAGAAGTGCATTTAAATTATTAGAAATCAATGAAAGGTTTAAGATTTTAAAACCTGGACAAACTGTGATTGATTGTGGTGCTGCTCCTGGCAGCTGGACCCAAGTTGCCATCAAAATGACAAATGCAAATGGTAAACATGATGGTGATGTTGGAACTGTGATTGGAATAGACAAAATACCAATGTATCCAATTAAAGGTGCAACTTTATTGGGTAATATGGATTTCACTAATATAACTTCACAAAAGGAACTTCTAAAACTATTAAAAGATGAAAAAGCCCATGTGGTTTTATCGGATATGGCTCCAAATGCATCTGGTATAAAAGCCATGGATCATGAAAATATAATAAAGCTGGCATATACTGCATTGAAATTTGCTTTACAAATTACATGCCTAGATGGAACATTTGTCTGTAAAGTTTGGGATGGTGAAAAGTCTCAACAATTAGAGAAAGATCTTCTAAAATTTTTTAAACATGTTAGAAATGTAAGGCCTGAAGCCACAAGAGATGAATCTACAGAAAAATTCTTTTTAGCCACAGGATTTAAAGGAATAAAGACTACATCTAGTAGTACATTATAATATCCAGTTTCATTAACAAATTTAAGTTATGTAAACTTCAAAGTATTTAATGAATAAAATCATTTATAACATAATTGCTTATTGTGCCTGGACAGGTTGTAAATAATAACAAATCACAATATTTTGATGTAAGATCAACATCAAGTGATTTTATAACTTCTTCCTTTTGCAATCTAACAGCTCCTACACAACACGACATGTATAATATACATCAATATATTTAGTTATAAATAATACAATAATATTTAATACAGTTACAATTAATACGCATTAAGATGCTGTTGATGCTTCTTAATTATACCATTATATATACAATTCTTAATAAAATTAATATGTACACAAATTAACATTCAGATACATGAGAGAGATTACACACCACATCGAAGTATACGCAGAACGATAAAATTACTGGCCATGATATTAAATTTTTAATTTTGTTAAAATTCAATGTACGTGTGAGACCCACGTAAAGAAAAATTCATTGAAAATAAAATATAAAGAATTCTAATTTTTATTGTATGCATTCTATCCCGTGTCCTTTTGGATTAATAATTTTACAGGTAAAACTGTATAGAAAACGGTTGTAACGATGATTGGAAAAGTTAACGATATTACGGACTAATTTTTATTCTTTTGAATACCATGGTCAAAACATTGATATAGAATAATTCTCAAATTAAAAACATTCATATTATGTAGATACCTGTTTTAGCTATACAATGTAGGTGTAAGCTTTGACTCAATTATATCGGAGACGTGAAATGTTGAAAATTCTACAAAAAATTGTGGTAATTTTTAAAACACATCTAATACTGTTCAATTCAAGCTGAAGTCATTGAGAATATAAAAAACTTTATGTAAAAGTTGAATCTGAAGATTATGTAAAAATTTAAAAGTTTAAAAAATAATTATGCTTATGAACTTAAACTGAACATATTGAAAGCTACAAAAAGTTGAAGAAATAGTAGGAGACATTTAGATATTATATGTTTCCCTTTCCATATGTTGCGATATTAAATTTCACGGTATATTGTTCGCAGTTTTCTTTCATGGAAAACCAAACGAAAAGCATAATTTCAACAATTTGTGTCTCTTCATACCATAAGAGTAGACATGACGACGTGTATATGATAAAGCTGTATGAACAATACTTGGTCGCTGAGGGGAACAGCGATTTACCTTTCGAGATTTTTCATGACAGAAGACGTGTGATTTCGTGTTCTATAAATAAAAAGCAATACCGCTAAAATCAGTCTGATTCGATATACCGGGGTCACAAGCATATTTCCTGAGTTCGTGAACCCAGATTCCGCGCGTTTAAGGATGCAACAAAAGTATTTGAAATGGCACACATAGATGAATCTATACATTGCTTTTATTATAAACTCTTTCCTCTTTTTTTTTTTAGATACCGAATAAAAATCGAATAATTAATATAAGATAAATTAAATAAAAGCATTAGGTATTAATTTAATATATAAAAAATATTGATTCCAGTACCTATATGATTTTTTAAAAATTTTTCTTTTTCTATTAAGTAATAGAAATACCAAAACAGTATTTTTAATGTTTTTTTTTTCTTCTAAATTTCCATTGATTTCCATAAATAAATTCATCTGTGAATATCATACCAAATATCTTTTACACACTAATACTTCGAAGCTGATTTAAAAGTTCAAGATTCAATTGAAGACAATGATGGTAATTCGTGATTCAACTATACACACGCAGATCGTTCGGATCTACTAAGCATTTCGTAGAATCGTTTTATTCCACTGTTTGCACTGCGAAGATTAATCGACGATGTATCTTATTATAATTCGTTCTTATCGATAGCGTATCGTCAACGAGTACAAAGAGATGTCACCGTTCGTGTCGGACAGTGATCCATGGCCACGATATATACAATATGTGATCGTTTCTTATTGCGCGTACATTTCGTGCACGATAAAACATGATTAAACACGACCTTGTCGCCGACTTATTGTTTTCATAACAGAAGTTTCGCGTATCGACGCGTTCTTTGTATAACGGCGCGGTATTCTGGAGATGTATTTTCGGTTTGCATGCCTCGACGTTTTCAATCGCGACGTGTAGAAAATAAAAAAAAAAACCGCTAAAAATACAGTAGCTTCGGAGGATATTCTGTCACTAAGTTAACTAACATTTAGAATTCGTTGTAGAAAGTGGAAAATTTTTGCAGAAAAATTGAGTAATGGTTCATCACTCTTTGTGCTTTACCATTGGCATAACTAGGTAGAGGTCAGAATGGCCCTCCAAAAATGTGGACTAGCGTCTTCACTATTTTAAGATTCTAAAATTCTGTACACCTAGCCCACTTTAGAAAAATATCCTAGTTACGCCAATGATGCCTTCCTTTTTTAATTCACTATTGCAAAAACCTCTTTATTAAAATCTAAAAATATAAGCCATACTGGGAAATTTAAGTTCAGAGAATAGAGTAGACACCCTTTTTTTGAAAAATATTTTAGTTTGTTAACCAGATCGCTCTGTAAGAAGTTATGAAAAAAATTAGAAAAATTAATGAAAATTCAATAATTTGACAAGAAAATCTCAATCGATGCGAGATTGCATTATCATACAATAATACACCCCTTTTTGGTGCTCCAGCAAAGTACTTTAAAATTTAAGTAGTTGGCATTATTCATTGACTATGTCAACATTAATCTTTTCTTTTTTTTAAACTTGCGTTAGTACAGCATTTGGTGCAATGGAATCGAAGACTGATCGTGACAGCACTAAATTGACATAATAGGTTTAACACCTCTGCCCCTGATTACTTAATTAGCGAAGTTGAATTTTACTTACTCAAGGCACGAGTTGCGCGATAATTAATGATTCAGTCGACGTTAAAACGGTTATTACAAATTAGAAGATCCTACTTCAATGTCGTTTTAAATCTAAGAAAATCAAACGATACTCTTAAGAATCGTTAATCGATGATATAATGTTCAGTTATGTATTAGGACCTAATAATTAGGTCGTTCAGAATTATTCTGAGTGAACATTTTTGTCACTTAATTTTTTTTCTTTTAGAATTTTGTAAAATATTGTTCAATTTTCTTATCAATAGTTTATCTTTAATTATAACAGCAAATGAGCGTAGTATAATTGTATGCTATCACTCTAAGTCACTCGTCTCGTTCAGCTAAATAATTTTCCATTGCAGGTAGTATGTTTTATGCAGTAAACTAACGCAGGTAAACGCCCTTTCGAAAATTCTAGCCTACCTGTTCCCTTTTCATAGCGCTAGGGAACCACTGTTGACAATGGATACAATATTTTTTTTGTATTGATAAATATGTACAGTCAGGTGCAACCTAGGGTAAATATAAAATAAAGAGCCTCCCACTACCTGCTTTTAATGTGGGAGGAACCAGAAAAGGCGGGAGAGAAAAGGAGAGCATAATTTAAAACCTCCTAGTTTCGTGTATTTATAAAGAATATGGACAAATAAAGCAGGTAGTGAGATATTTCTTTTTAACACATTGACTGCCATATTGAAATTCCTACAAATTTTATTAGATAATATTTCTGTTTTTAAGAAACACTTAGTATTCTGAGAATACTAATAAGATTCCTAATTTTTTATTATTCCCAACCACGTCTTCTGAAACTTTCGAAAATATTGCGGTAATTATTAAAAAACAAAGTTTCTTAATTTCTTAACGAGGGGTCAACCGAGATTTCTGACCCCCCTAGTTGCGCTACTACTTAATATAGAAGTAAAAAAAATTTTAATAATGTAGGTAAGTGTCATCTAATATGACAATTAATGTGTTAATTAAGGGAAGCCTAAGTTGCACGCGACCATATGAACCTTCCTACAAAGCATTGGCGTAATTAGGATTTCTGGATGGAGTGGGCCAAATCCCTTAGCTTTATTAACAATGTTAAGTGTAAATATTAGAATTTTATAATTCTAAAATTTTTGAATTTTTGAATTTTTGAATCTTAGAATGGTGAAGGACCAATAGACATTTTTGAGGGGGACAGGTTCACCCTGGTTTTTATCTAGTTACGCCAATGCCACTGAATTGAATAAATCATCTAACATCGATATCAATTGATACAGCTACTGATTTTAAATGTCACATGATTCTATTTCATGTATCGATGATATTCATTGCACTGGTTATTTTTACCAGCTATCAAATCGAAAGTACCTCGATAAATATACATTGTTACGTTTCTATCCTGCTCTATCAATCGCTTCGTCTAATAGTAGAATATAAAACATCTTACTATCCTCGGAAAAATCAAGATATTAGGTGTTTCATTTCGTAATATGAAATATCGGATTTTTCGAGGAGAAATGAAATCATTTTTGAAATTTTAACAAACGTTTTATTCGTCGAAATAATTTGTTATTCGTAAGAGTGCACTAATTAAAATATTGAAAACTTGTTTTTTTTTTGTTTAGAAAATTTGCAAAAAATTATTTCTTTTCGTTTGTCTTGAAAAATTATAATTAAAAAATTTTAAGATTCTGAAATTCCAGAATTTTAGAATTTCGAAATGAAATATCAGATTTCCAAAATTCCAGATGTTTAGAATTACAAATTTACAAAATTTCTATGGGATCCCAGAAAATATCCTAAATACGCCAATGCAAAAGACTATACAATTTGCTACCTATTTCGACGAATAAAATATTCGTAAGAATTTGAGAAACAATTTTCATTCCTCTTTAGAAAAATTTGACATTTTCCATAACACGACCTATTATAATTCTCTAATAATATCTCGCGATGTGAAATTCAATTCGGCAGAACTTAATCGTAATTAACGTAACACGCTTGCTACAATGTATTCGCAACTTACTTACACGTCTCCTGCTTTCCTCCGGTATCACAGTATTGTGCTAAGCAATTTATACAATTAATCTCATCGAGCAATTTATTATTCTCTATATTAAACACGGACACACGGTTGCTTGTTTACGCATTTAATTATATGGTTACTCGTTGAACATTCCGATATATTGGAAAAAAAAAAGAATCTAGGCCTTAAGAATTGATACGTCGAATTGATAATCGATAAGATCTCTGGATCAGCTTCTTGGAGAGCAGAATTCCAGAGAGACCAGTGCCGCTTATAGTTTAATCGACTACGTGTAATATGTGATTAAGGACAATGCCTTACTGTACAATTATGTATGTTATTATGCTCATACATAAATTAGAATTAAGTATACATCATATAGCACAATCATTATTATACGATTACTACATCATAAGTGTTTGTACAAATTGTATATGTACACCCGTACCAGTAACAGCCTCTTTCGCATAGCGATACATGTACCATAGATATTTTGTTTACAATGAAATAGTTAATTTTACAATTTCAAATTTCAAACTTTCTATTTGCTACCTTACATTACTAGTATGGCAATTGGTATGATGATACTAATAACGTAGGATGACAAATAGAAAGCTTGAAATTTATAATTTGAAAATTAATTATTACTATTAGTAACAGTATTCTAATGATGCAAGGTGGCAAATAGAAAGCTTGAAATTTGTAATTAGAAAATTAACTATCACCATTAGTGTTATTATCCTAATAGTATAAGATAGCAGATAGATAACTTGAAATTCCATTTTTTTTATCTAACACTCTTTTATATAAATTCCAAACAGGCAACACTTTAAACTCACCCATTTTTGAAATAAAAGCCTTCCTTTAAAAACTTATAACCAAGACGAGAGATATTCCTGACACACAGTTACAAAATTAGATGGATCACACGAGTATCCTTCTGTACGTCTATCACGATACACGTATCACCGTGCGAAAGAGTTCAGACGTTGAACGCGCTCCGTTCAAGGTGGGCCGTGTGATTAATCAAACGTTCCTCGATTATAAATGCGATATAGACTTACAAATGCGGACGGCGCTGGTAAATGATATCGTTAAAGCGACAGTTGTAAAAGAAACTTTTTCAAAAGTTAAGCCGGGCAAGGTGATTAAGCCGAGGCTGTTCTAAGTCTAACAGTAAAAGACTTTGGTATTTTCTAGATCACTCTTCTACTGTCTTACCCCTTTCGTCATCTACCATCGTTCAATGATTCAGTATATCATTTCAGAATCCTAATTTTTCAACATTTCACCGTAAACGGTCATTTCTCTTTGAAGAACTTTCACCATGAAAGTCAACGCTTATCTGGTCACCAAGCAAGTCAGCTCGTTAGACACTTCAGAGTCCCTTGAACCGTCGAGTCTCCGTTAGACGAATTGGCACTAGGGCTAATTCGAAATTCTGAAAAGAACCCATGAAGATCAAGGTAGCACGATTAAACGTCGTTTTGAATGGTCGTGGTGTTTAAGCTATCGGGAGAGGTCTCATCCTTCTCCATTTCCGTGCTGTTCTCGTAAGACGTCGTATCGTAGGCGGTAGTTTCGTAGGTGCTGCTTTCGTAGATCGTTGTATCGTAGGTGCTCGTATCGTCGCCGTACGTCGTCGACTGGGATGACGTCGCGTCAGATGTTGTATCGGAAACGGTGGTGTCGGAAGTGGTCGCGTCAGATGTGGTCGTCGGATCGGACGTCGTGCTGGTTCCAGGAGTGGTCGTTGTCGTCTGTGTCGTCGTCTCGTAAGTGGTACCGATCTCCATCGATCGTTCTTCCTCTTCGTTGGAATCGATCTCCTCTTCGGGGGGTACAATTATCGGGAATCTGAACGAGCCTCTGGTTTCCTCGGGATCCGATTGGGCCGGCTCGGTGTCCACCAGCGAGAACAGAGGAATGTTTAATTGCAACGGTCCGCTGGATTTCTTTGGATTGTTATTTGGCGATGGGAACTCGGAACTGCCCCCTCGATTGCCGTATCGGGTGTTCAATCGTTGTAGAAGAAAGCCAAGATGAGCTTGATGGTCAATGTTCACGCTCTTCACGCATCTGCCCATCGTGTCAGCGTGGTAGCCGTCCGGGCAAGGTGGTAACGCTGGCAGTTCAGGCGCGATGAAAACACTTTTCGGTGTTATTCGTCGGAGAAATGTGGCGGAATCTAAGCTGGATTGTCCTCCGTTTTGCGAGTCCAATAGCAGCCATGCTTGCCAAGCTAGATCGCTCGGTGAGCCAAGATTCTGCGATCTCGTTTCGGAGGAACTGCTTCTCGATAACGTCGGCGACGACAACGACGAGGAGGATGATGATGATGAACCGGAGGTGTCCGTTAACCGTTTCGTCGAGATCGGTTCGCAATGCCTAACGAGGTCGGATAAAATAACGACGGTGAGTAGCATCCTCCAACGGGGATGCCTTCGTCTCTGGCTTATCATAAGCATGTTTGCTTTATTTCAGGTTTCTTGCGGGATTCGTTCGAGCTATCTTGAAGATTCTCGTCTGAAACCTGCTCGTCACCTTCCCCTCGAAACTCGGCACATCGGATTCGTCTGGAAACAGAAAGAGATATCGTCTATTTACTGGGACGATAATACGGCGAACGATGAATAAAATCGTATTTAACCAGACAAAACAAATGTAAATGACTGTTAATCTCCCTTCTTCTGTTTGGAAATGATTTCGTTCTGTATTTTAAATTGGTATAGTTTGATGGAATTATATTTCAGATCCTCCAAAATTTTCAGTTTAATTTAAGTTTAGATTTTCTTGAAGAAAAAGAATGTAGAGAAAGGAGGAATTGTCAGAATCTTAATTTTGGGAATATTAATATCAATAGTGATCTAGAAACAAAATAATATAATTTTTAATTATTAAATTAAAAATTTTCAAATTTCAAATTTAAATTCTTTTCAATTTTTTATTTAACAGAGAATTGAGAGTACATCGCGTGAGAATGTAAATTGGCAGCATTGAAGTGTCTCGAAAGGAAAGGGTAACACAGTTCGAGTTATTTGTACACGACGATTGCACGGATCGATGATTCGTCAGTTTGAAAAGGTATTGCATACCCACAGCTGTGTTCGTTCGCGTACATATGCAATAGAAACTGCACAAGCAAGGAACGGGGAAAAGTGAATGCACGCAGATCTGTTTTTACCGTTATGCAGCCACGCCACGATTATGTCTACGTCCTGAATAGGCCATACAAACACGAGATTCGGTTTCAAGAACGTGTCAGGCATCGATGCTTTGATGGAAAAGAACAATAAAAAAAAAAAAAAAGGAGAAGAGAGAGAGAAAGAGAACGTGGGATGGCGCCTGCTAAATTCGTGATCGAAATAAATTCCATGCTAATCGGTATCCATGAATTCCCTTTTTCTGCTCCTTTCATCTGCTTCTCTCCTGTACTTTCGTTTTCAATGTCCCTGTGCTGTGAAGCTAGTAAAATTGCTAAATCCTCTCATATTTTGATATTCGATCAATTAAAAAGAAAAAAAAAATAGATTTTTAATAAATAAATTGAATTGTTTATTTATAGAATATTTTTTATAGTTAAAAATACGAATATGATATCATAGAAAATATAAACAAATTTACATTAAATTTCTAAAATTACAAAAGTGAAATGCAGTCGAAAATATTCAGATGAATGAATTATCATAATCGTATTCGAAAATATTTCACAAATCGTGGATTACCCCAGCCCATTAAAACGAAAGGAAAGGAAAACGTAATTAAATTCCTATTCGTCACACTTTCCCTGAACTTCTTTCACTTCGTTCAACTGGACAAAGAGATGTGTTTCTATGTCCTCGACCCTAATTTCTATTTCCAAATCGAATTCATTTTGTTCCTGTTCGATGGTAACCCGGTTCGAGATCTAAATCCACTTAGAAAACAAACGGAAGAGGAAAGGAAAACGACAATGTATCACCTCGTGTCTCTTCAGCGTTAGTTGGTAAAGGGTAAAGTGGGGGCTAAGGTGGGTCCTCCCCAAAATGCAAGCTGGCACCCTCAACAAAAAGCGTTCATCAGTTTGTAATCGATGCACGCTTATTTTGAAGTTGAAAATAATATAATATCTAATCATCAGAATGATCCCTTAAGTTTGCATAACCAGTTAGCAATGAACAGTAGTAGTGTCAATGATATGATTTACTTGAGAAATGAAAGTTGAATGCTCGTATGCCTTGGAATTCTTGTTCGATGAGATATTAGGAAGAATTTGCTACATTCCTGTACACAATTATCTAAAGATGCGTGTGAACAGTGTCTGTCTCTATTAAGGGCTATTAAGGGACTAACTGCGTTATAATGATGGGAATTCCCTCTATTTAGTCCTGATCTCATCATGTACAAATTTTATTTTTTCAATAAGTGAAATATTTCACGTTTATCACTTGTGTCGATGATTACCCTTCCGGACGGCGGACCATGGAGAGAGTCCCAATTTTAATTTAATTTCATATTCCACATTATCTTAATTTTCTAAATTTCACACTGTTTCTTCTAAAATTATTTAAAATGCATTTAACTTGAGGTTAAATGTATATATATATTTTATAAATTTGGATTTCGATTGACCCAGACGCAGCTGTTCAAGGGTTAAATATAAAATGTAAACCTAGTTACGTATAATTTAATCTACTAACGTATATTTCTCGTTATTTCAGGTAATACATAACCCAATCCTTTGCTCCATTTTTATAAGTCGCTTATTTTAATTTCAACAAGGTTTATTTCAAATCAGGAGGAAAATAATGTGATATTTCAAGGATTAAATATTGTTTCTGAACGTGACGCACTTTTCAAGCGAATTTACTTGAAAATTTATTTTCATTTATCCGGTAAAAACAATGTACGATAAATAAACATGATTTAACAGATCTGTTATAATTTTTACCAATATTTTTCTAGCAATAGGTGAATTTTAACGAAATATTATATAGGGTTCAGAAGGGGATTAAGATTTGTTATATTAATAAATTCAGATCTCCATTTCTGGTCGACGTTAGTTTTCAAAAATTCTGAACTCTCTCGCTGCAGATCGCGCCTTTTGCGGGTGGACCACGAGTGAATCACGGGAAATCAAAAATAACGTTATAAATTACGCGATCCAGTTTGATTTCCGCGTACTTAAACAAATCGAAAGAGGGAACGATGATATTATTTCAGATGAATGAGATCGCGGTTTGTATAGTTGAACGTTTACCCACAAGACGTCATTTACGAGAGACGGAAAACACTTGGAAAACATAAGGATTTTGCATTTCCACGTGCCAGGATATTTTTTTTATTCTTTTTTACAGAGGATGGGTTACCATTATTTTTCGACGTAAATCCTGAAGAAATTTGGGTCCATTTCCATTTTCTTTGTTTTATTTTAATTATTAACCCTCGAACAGCGGAGCCTAGATCAGTCAAAAGTTAAACGTATAATTTTTAAAGAAAAGATTTGAAAAATGGAAATAATATGAAGTACAAATTAAATAAAAATTCGGGCTCTCTCCATGGTCCGCCGTCCGAGGGATAATAAATCATTTAAAAATTTCAGTATTTCTTATTTTAAATTGAATTTTTTAAGATTCAAAAATAATTCCCTCCAAAAATTGAGAAACTATAATATCGTTCAATAAATAAATTTCTACAAGTTCCGAGTATTTTTGGAAATTTATTCTGAAAACAAATTATACCTTTCATAAAAACCTTCGAATTATAATTGTAAATTAGATTACGTTATATCAGATTCTGCAGCTTCCGTTGCATAATCGAGGATAAAAAATTTCCTTCTTCTTTTCTTGCGAGCAATGAAAGTTCTAGCTACCGCTTGCTCTTTCTATACGGCATTTGAAACGATCTTTCACCGATACTTGCTAGTATGTAGTTTCTTTCTTACATGGGATCGTGTTGTTTCTTATCCGCGTTCCTCAATGGCTTAGCCCCTTTCATTGCTGTTACAAGTCGAACAACGTCTCGATATCAAGAGCTTTCTCTGCGAGATAAGGAAAACGCTACTTCAAACAGCGGCTTTTTGAATCATTGGATTGTCAATGCAACGAGTTCTCGATAGCGTTATCGTCGCACGCTCGTTTCAACTCGCAACGAGTATACATATATGTATAAGTTACTACTTTGTTGAACGAATTTCCATTCGTTTCTGATAAATCCAAATTATTTATAACAGCGACCTCATTGCATCTAAAGGGTTACATACGCCCATTGGCGTAACTGGGTACCCCCCCGCCCCCAAATATGTGCTGGCCCATCGACTATTCCACAACTAAAAAATTTCAGATTTCTAAAATTTTAGAATTTTAGTAAAAAAAAAATGACACCATTTTGCAAAAAATTAAAGACTGTAATTAAAGTAAGGTAAATTTGAAGAGAAGTTAAAAAAATTGCCATATCTCATTTATCAAGTTTTCTCTAATTTAGTAACGAGGTAGCCTTCTACCGTGCAAATTTTCTCTACGGTTCGTTAAATCATTAACACGTACACACATGTTACACGTACGTTGAGTAGCGAAATTACCGGAATCCAATCAACGGTAAATAATTACAGAAATTACTCGAGCCTTTAACGATGTAAAAATTTTGTCAGTCCATCCTTTGGATCATTAAATTATGAAAGCAACACCTGATAAACGAACTATTAGAGATGTATACGATGGTATCTGAAAATTTTGAATAAAAATATGGATAAATTAAAATTAGAAATTTTTTAACAATTTCACCTTCGTTTGTGTTTATTTGTTTAACAGGAGAGTTTAATGAAATGATCGAACTGATTAATCTTGGTAATTTGTATCCTCATAATACCACTTATTCTGCTTCGTTCTACGTTGCTAAAGAGAACTAGTAACCAAACCGGTTCAAATAAATCGAAAAGACAGGGTTTAACATCTTTTCAAACAACTTCCCCAGCCTGATTGTTCGCGAATTTTATGTCGTTTACAAGACGCCAATGCAGAGAATTTAGAATAGTAACGAGATATATGTTGATTCAACGTGAATCATGGTAATCTAAACGGAAGTGCGCATAAATTTAGATCACTTACTACGCATTTTATTAGAGAAAAATGTACCTATTAATCCACTTTCAATTATATCTTCCCTGTGATAGATTATTGAATTGGACCTTCTTTACGAAATTTGGGAATTTCTAAATTTTGGAAACGTGGCATTTTGGATTCTGAAATTTGGAAATTCTAGAATTCTGAAATTCTCCTATTTAGAAATTCTGAAATTCTGCTATTTGGAAATTATGAAATTCTGCTTTTTGAAAATTTTAGAATTTTGTGAATTCAAAAACGTAGGAAGTGAAAAATTTCTAAATTTCTAAATTTTTATAATACCCTGCAACTAATAAGCTGGAAATATACAGTGTTGGGTAAACATAATTACAAAGACCTCGAGACAAACAATGCAGACAGTGTCTTCATGAACTTTCGTTGAACACGAGGCCAACCTGTCATGCGCCTCTCGAATCTGTAATCATTCATGACAGCTTTGGCCTCTCCTTAAATAGCTTTTTACTACGAAATCCTTT